ATCTTGTACCTTGCAACTTTGCTAAATTCCTCTATTAGCTCAAAATGTTTTCTTGTGGGGTATTTGGGATTTTTTATATATAGGAACTTATCATCTGTGAACAGAGATAATTTTACTGCTTGTTTTCCAAGCTGAATACCTTTTATTTCTTTCTCTTGTCTTCTTGCTCTAATACAGTATTGAATAGAAGTGGTGAGAGTGGTCAACCTTGTCTTGTATCCAGTTTTAAGGGGACAGCTCTCAGTCTTTTTCCATTAAGTATAATTTTGGCTGTTGGCTTTTCATATATGCCCTGAATCATATTGAGGAATTTCCCTTGTCTTCTAATCTTTATGGTTTTTCTCAAGACAAGGTATTGGATTTTATCAAATGCTTTTTCTGCATCCCTAGAGATGATCATGTGGTTTTTTTCCTTTGTTCTACGGATGTAGTGTATTAACGTTGATTGATTTTCTAATGCTGAACCATCCCTGCATTCCTAGAATATAGTCCCACTTGGTTATGGTATGTGACTCTTCTAATATGCTGTTGGATTCTGTTCAGTAGTATTTTGTTGAGGATTTTTATGTCTATATTCACAAGAGATATTGGCCTGTAGTGTTCTTCTCTTGTGTCTTTGTTTGGTTTGGGTATCACGGTTATGTTTGCTGCATAGAATGAATTAGGGAGTATTCTTTCCTTCTCTATCTTTTGGAAGAGTTTAAACAGTATTGGTGTCAATTCTTCTCTAAATGTTTGGTAGAATTCCCCAGTGAAGCCATCTGGTCTAGGGCTTTTTTTTGTTGGGAGGTTTTTGATAACTTATTTGATCTCTACACTTATTATGTGTCTGTTGAGACTTGTTTCCTCTTGAGTCAGTTTGAGTAGGCTGTATGCTTCTAAGAATTTGTCCATTTCATCTAGGTTATCCGGTTTGTTGCCGTACAGTTGTTCATGATATTCTGTCATAATTCTCTTTATTTCTGTTTAGTTGGTTGTAATGTCCCTTCTTTCATATTTTATTTTGGTTACTTGCATCTTTTCTTTTGTCAGTCTAGCTGAAAGTTTGTCAATTTTATTGATCTTTTCATAGAACCAACTTCTGATTTTGTTGATTTCTGTCTATTGTTTTTCTGTTTTCGATTTTATTTATTTATTCTCTAATCTTTGTTATTTCCTTTCTTCTAGTAGGTTTAGGCTTAGTTTGCTCTTCTCTTTCTAGTTCCTGGAATTTTCGAGTTAGCCTGTTAATTTGAAATCTTCTTTCTTTTTTTTTTAATGTAGGCATTTATTGCTCTAAGTTTTCCTCTGAGTACTGCCTTAGCTGCTTCCATAAATTTTGGTATATTGTGCTTTCATTTTCATTTTACTCGAAGAAATTTGTGGTTTCTCTTTTGATTTCCTGCCTGACCTATTGATAGTTTAATAGTGTGTTGTTTAATTTCCATATGTCTGTATTTTCTAGGGGTTGTTTTCTGTTATTGATTTCTAGCTTCACTCCAAGGTTAAATGATTTTTAATGCAAGTTATTATTGAGCTGCTTTTATTTTGTTGAATCCATTGTGAGACATCTTGTTATTCTGAGTTATCCATTAATTTATTTTTCTCCTTTTTTAAATTTTTTATTGTAGTTTAGATGAAGTTTACAGAGCAAACTAGCTTCTCATTAAACAATTAATACACATATTGTTTTGTGACATTGGTTGTCAACTCCACAACATGTCAACACTCTCCCCTTCTCAACCTTAGGTTCCCCATTACCAGCTTTCGTGTCCCTTCCTGCCTTCTTGTCCTTGCGCTGGGCTCACGTGCCCATTTAGTCTCATTTTGTTTTATGGGCCTGTTTAATCTTTGATTGAAGGGTGAACTTCAGGAGTGACTTCATTACTGAGCTAAAATGGTGTCCAGGGACCATACTCTTGGGGTTTCTGTAGTCTCTGTCAGACCAGTAAGTCTGGTCTTTTTTTTTTTTTGAGTTAGAATTTTGTTCTACATTTTTCTCCAGCTCTGTCTGGGACCCTCTATTGTGATCCCTGTCAGAACAGTCAGTGGTGGTAGCCAGGCACCATCTATTTGTGCTGGACTCAGTCTGGTGGAGGCTATGGTAGTTGTGGTCCATTAGTCCTTAGGACTAATCTTCCCCTTTTGTCTTTGGTTTTCATCATTCTCCCTTGCTCCAGACAAGGTGAGACCAGTGGAGTATCTTAGATGGCCACTCACAAGCTTTTAAGACCCCAGACACTACTCACCAAAGAAGAATGTAGAACATTTTCTTTATAGACTATGTTATGCCAGTTGATCTAGATGTTCCCTGAGACCATGGTCCCCAGAACCCTTGGCCCAGTAATTTGGTTCCTCAGGGAGTTTGGCTGTGTCTGTGGAGCTTCCATGACCTTGCCTTCGTCAAGTTGTGCTGGCCTCCCTAGTATTGTGTACTGTCTTACCCTTCACCAAAGTTACCACTTATCTATTGTCTATTTAGTGTTTTTCTCTCACCACCACCCCCCATAACCATCCAACATTGTGTCTTTTTATTCATTAATTTTTTAATTTAAAACATTAACAAATCGCTGGAGTAGAAACCACTGCTGTCAAGTTGATTCCGACTCAGATTGACCCTGTAGGACAGAGTAGAACTGCTCCATAGGGTTTCCAAGGTTGTAAAACTTTATGGAAGCAGACTGCCACATCTTTCTCCTGTGGAGCGGCTGGTGGGTTCAGACCACCAACTTTTTGGTTAGTAGTCTAGCACTTTAACCAGGGCTTCTCCAGCTGAAGTAAAGAGGTCCATAAATATTTATTCTTTCATAAGACAATTATTGAGTGCCTACTATATATGAGATATTTGAAATTGGTATTCATTTTTAAAGTTCTTCAAGCCCAAAACAATTTCTATCTTTTTGCTTAGAAAAGTCACATTTCACAACCTCTCTGAGCCTCTTTTTTTATTTGTCAAATAGCAACAATCTAACATTTATCTAAGAATTACCCTGAAAATCTAAAGGATGTGAAAGCTTTTTTTTTAAATTCAGTTTTTACCTTCTACTACATTAGAAGTTAAACGTTCTGTGCGTGTTGTTGTAGTATAGGGACATCTAGATGTCCTGACAGTCCAAAATCAAAATTTTATCTTCTAAACTATACAAGGTGGATTACACAAATAGTGTGAATTATAGACTGAAATTTCTGTGATTGTCAGCTTTTGGTTATGAATTCTGAGGGGAGATTTGGCCTGTACCAAATAGCCAGGCAGGTTTTTTTGTTTCCACTCTGTGAAGCAAGTTTATTTCTCATTGACTCTTATTCTGAAAATACAGACATTTGGAATCTCAGTTTTTGTTGAGGAAGATTCACCCTGAGCATGGCCTAGGCCTTATTTCCTGTCTTCTGTGGTCTGGATAGCATTCAAAACTGTAGCTCAAGGTCAGCAAGGTTTACAAGATAACTTCAGGTTGAAAAGTGGCTTCAGAGCTCATTTCCTTTCAAGGGATCCTTCATTTTTATCCTGCAAATTATTCTTCTTGCCAGCTCAGCACTTCGTTTAAAAAGATCTAAAAAGATTTATAGAGATTTTTAGTTATTTTCTTTAGGAACAGTATTTCCACATTGTAAGGTGTAGAACACTACACAAATGGTCATTTCATCATCATTACTAAAATGCCTCCATTCTATCAAGAAATCCTGCCTTCAAGATATATTCCAAATTTAATCATTTTATAGCACCTACCGGAAGATTGGCAGTTCGAATCCACCAATCGCTCGTTGGAAACCCTATGGGGCAGTTCCACCCTGCCCTATAGGGTCGCTATGAGTCGGAATTGACTCAATGGCACACAGCAGCACTACTACTATCACCCTAGTACAACCCGTTATCATCTTTTGCTTGGACTCCTTCAGCAGCTTCCCTTTATTAGTCTTTCTGCTTCTGTTCTTAACTTTCCTATAGTCAGTTCTCTCTAGCAGGATTTAAAAAAGAAAGAAAAGTCATATCTTGTCTCACTCCTGCTTCAGCCGTTCATGGTTTCCCATTGTTTCTTAGAATAACATTTCAACTCCTTTTCCTGACCTCTAAAAGCCCTATCATCGAGGACTTCATTTGGGGCCCTTTTGCCATGCCTACCTACTCCAACCTCCTTAGCCTTTCCAGTGTTCCTGAAACACAACAAACTCACTTCTGCCTCTAGATCTTTGCTATTTCTTTTCCTTCTGCTTGGAATGCTTTTCTCCAGATCTTTTCCTTCATTGAGGTTTTCACCCAATTGATATCTCTTCAGACTAGCCTTCCCTGACTACCCTACCTAGAAGCTCTCCTTACCCCGATTGCTTTTATCTCTTTACCCTGATTTGTTTTTTATTGTGTTTATTAGTACCTGAAATTATTTACTTTTTGTACTTAAATCCTCAAAACCTACAGCAGGAGCTAAAAATATTTATTGAATGGTTAGATATACCTTTGGATCCCTGGACACCACGGGTTTATGTGTTCCTTTCATATTGCCCATAGTTAATTTTAGATCATTTTCATCACTTCAAGAGGAATCCTTTAGTTTGCCCTATTTATTTTTATATTCTCTGTGCTCAACACAGTACCCAGAATGTAGTTGGCATTTAATGAATCTTGGCTAAATGAAAGTGAATGAACAAATTAATGCAAGTAAGCAAAAACAAAAATTTTTTTTTTAATCAAATTCAGGACATTGTTACTTTACCAAGAAGGTAAGGTCTTTTAAGTTTCCTTCTTGGTGAATATAACCTTAGGAAAAAAAACCTAAACAGTAGTTGTTCTCTATATAGTTTTAGATTAAACTACACATTTTTCCAGTTAGTGAAGCATAGAAAAATATTATTTTCTATCTCAGTGTATTTGCTATCAGCCACACTTGTCGCTTTGATTTTATAAATAACATCTCAGTTTTTTTTCTTCCAGAAAGAATAAAACTTGTCCTAAATGTCTTTTCTGTTTTCAGGGAGAATTTAGAACTGTCTATCATTTCATTAATTTTTTTTTTCTCTCTCGACAGTTCCATCTCCCAACCTCTATAGCCAGCTGAATGCACTACAGTTGACTGTGGATGAAAGAAGCATTCTATGGTTAAATCAATTTCTGTTGGATTTAAAACAGAGCCTTAATCAGTTTATGGCTGTATACAAGTTGAATGACAATTCAAAATCTGATGAGCATGTTGATATTCGAGTTGATGGCTTAATGCTAAAGGTACCATATAAACATACAGCTTTGAGAATGAAACCATTTTTATGGAAGAAAATTTGACAATTACATTATAATTTCCTGAATTTAACATGGACACTGAAATATAAATCAACTTCATTGTGATTTTGTAATTTCCCTTTTAATTTTGATTCTTAATTATAGATGCTCTACAGACTGCTTTTTTCTAGTTTTTGTATTTCCTGTGGCTGATTTCCCATTCTTTCTGTAACTTCATTTGTAGTTTTTTCATTGGTCATCCATCTGTGGTTGAGCAATAAAAGTAAAACATCAGTCATTTTTTTCTACAGAACTGATAAAATTTTTCTTCAGAGAATGGTAAATAATATAGTTAAGCTTTTAAATTACATCTGGGTCTTACTTGTTTCACATTTATGCAGTTATTAGTATCCAAAGATAATAGAAAGTTGCTTTTTATTTGATAATCTGAACTGTGTGAATAGTTAAAGCTTTAAATGAAGGAAATTTAAAAATACAGAGCTAGTGTAGTTTCGTAAATAGAATAAGAGTTGGACATGGAAGATAATTTCAGTTTCCAAATCTGTTGCTAGTGGACTAAATATACATACCTTTAATTTCTTCTCTGTAAAATGAGTTTAATAATACCCAGCACTTGTATTGCAGGCATGTTTTTAAAGATCTTCTCAAAGATTTTATAATATTCAATCTAAAGGGACATATTTTATAACACAATTATAGTTTAAGATATAATTGTATAATCTTTAGGTTGTTTTGAGTGTGAGCAGTTTTAAAACCAGCCACTTTAAATTATTTGATATGAAAATTTTGAGAAGTGGGTTTAATTATCCTTTGAAAATTATTTTAGTAAATAATTTGATCTATATTTTTTAGTTTTTTTTTTTTTTTAAGTTTTCTTCCAGAAAAGTGATTCTGTTAACATATCCACTCATTCTAGTCTTTCATCCATTCATCCCCCAAATCTCTTGAATTTAAAATTGGTATAAAAATAAAACAAGACCTTTTTCCAGACTTGACACTTAAGAATATGTACTCAGGGCATAACAAGCATTAATACATAATGATTTAATTCAGTTTTATTCTTTGATCTGTTGTGTGTAAAAATAATTACATATGTGTCACATCCTTTTTTTAAGTTCTTTTTTTATACTCAATCATTTAGGTCTCTTTTATTCAGTGTAATAAAGATTTGAAGGTAGAGTATGTTTCATGTCTAATAAGAAAGTAGTATTTTGGGAGGAAATGTCAAGAAAAAGAACTTTGGAGATAAGTTATGTTCTTGGTTGTTTTACCTTCAAGATATATGGATTTGTAAAGTGGACTAGATTATAATTTTTTTTCCCCTTAGTTTGTCATTCCTTCTGAAATGAAATCTGAAAGTCATCAAGATCAACCACGTGCAATTTCTATTCAGAGTTCTGAAATGATTGCCACAAACACAAGGCACTGTCCAAACTGTCGGCATTCTGATCTAGAAGCTTTATTTGAAGATTTCAAAGAGTGTGACTTTTTTAGTAAAACATATACCAGCTTCCCCAAAACATATGACAGTTTTAATCTTCTACATCCAATCTTCCAGAGACATGCTCATGAACAAGATACCAAAATGCATGATGTTTACAAAGGAAATATTACTCCCAAGTTGAACAAGTATACTCTAAAAACTTCTGCTGCCACAGATGTTTGGGCTGTATACTTTTCTCAATTCTGGATAGACTGTGAAGGGACGAAAAGTGGGAAAGGACGACCAATAAATTTTGTGGACTCTTTCCCTCTTTCTATCTGGATTTGTCAACCAACAAGATATGCAGAGTCACAAAAAGAGCTACAGATGTGTAATCAGGTACCTCTAAATACATCACAAAGTGAATCTAGTGATCTGGCTAGCCGACTGAAGCGGAAAAAGCTCTTGAAGGAATATTACAGTACAGAGTCTGAGCCTTTGACAGATAGTGGTCAAAAACCGTCGTCATCAGATACATTTTTAAGATCTTCATCAGATGCAGATATTCATGTTCTGGTTCACATTCATAAACATGTCAGTATGCAGATCAATCACTACCAGTACCTCCTCCTGCTTTTCCTCCATGAGTCACTTATTCTACTTTCAGAGAACGTAAGGAAAGATGTAGAAGCAGTAACTGGCAGTCCTGCCAGTCAGACATCAGTTTGCATTGGAATTTTACTTAAAAGTGCAGAAGTAGCTCTCTTGCTACATCCAGTGGATCAAGCAAATACTCTTAAGTCCCCTGTGTCTGAAAGTGTGAGCCCAGTGGTTCCTGATTGTTTGCCGACAGAAAATGGAGAGTTTTTGTCTTCAAAAAGAAAACAAGTTAATAATAGTATAAATCAAATTAGAAGTGTAACTGTTAATCATATGGCAGACAGCAGATCTATGAGTGTTGACCTTAGCCCTGTTCCTTTGAAGGATCCTTTGCTATTTAAATCAGCTAGTGATACAAATCTGCAAAAAGGTATTTCTTTTATGGATTATTTATCAGATAAAAATTTAGAGAAAATAAGTGAAGATGAAAGTTGTGGCATTGTTTACAAAAGCGGCTCAGGAGAATTTGGATCAGAAATAAGTGACAAAAAAGATTCATCTACAAATTCACATAGTGTCTTACCCTACAGAGAAGATTCAAGTATGCTGTCATTTGATAACTGTGGAAACCAAAATGTATTTTCAAGTAATGGTAAAGAAAGTGAAACCATGGAATTATTTGTCAAAGCTGAAGATTTTGTTCCAGAAACAGCTTCACTCTCTGAGAACCTAGACATCGGTAAAGAAGAGATATCCACAGTTAGAACACTTAAATCACAGTCATCTTTAAGGTAACAACATATTGTGGAATTTGCATTATTTTTTTGTTGTGGTGGTGGTGCATGTGTGTGCATTTTATTTTCTTTTTAAATAGAAAGCTTCGTGACAAAATACAGCATTGTTAGAGTTAACATATGGAAGACTAGAGTTTTCAAAATATGGAACAGTTTGAGCCTGTTCTTCTTAAAAAAATTTAATTTCACTGTGGTAAAATGTATATAACAAAAGGTTTGCCGTTTTAACTGTTCTTAAGTGTACATTTCAGTGACACTTTCACTATGTTGTGCCTTCATTGTCACTTTTCATTTCCAAAAGTTTTACATCACCCTAAAGAGAAACTCAGTACCCCTTCATCAATAATTCCCATTTCCTTCTTCTCCTATGCCCCTGGTAACCACTAGAAAACTTCTGTCTATATACTTTTGCCTATTCTAGATATTTCATATAAGTAGGATCATACAATATTTGTCCTTTTGTGTCTGGCTTATTTCACTCAGCATGTTTTCAAGGTTCATGCATGTTGTAGCATGTATCAGAATTTCATTTTTCTTTATGGCTGAATAATATCCCGTTGTATAGATATGCCACGTTTTGGTTATCCATTCATCTGTTGATGGACACTTGGCTTGTTTCCACCTTTTGGCTTTTGTGAATAATGCTGCAGTGAATACTGGTGTACAGGTATCTGAGTTCCTACCTAAGACTATTAATACAGTAGCACATATTATAATAAGTTTATAGTTTTGGGTGTATACCTAGGAGTGGAATTGCTGGGTCATGGTAATTTATGTTTAGCTTTTTGAGGAACTGCCACACTGTTTTCCATAGTGGCTGTACCATTTTACATTCCCACCAGCAATGCATAAGGGATTCATTTTCTCCAGTCCTGGCCAATACTTGTTAGTTTCCATTTTTTCTGATAATAGCTATCCTGTTGAGTGTGACATGGTATCTTACTGTGATTTTTATTTGCATTTCTCTAATGACCGATGACTTTGAGCATTTTTTCATGTACTGTTTATATATCTTCTTTGGAGAAATGTCTGTTCAAGTCCTTTGCCCAGTTTTTTGTGATTTTGTTGTTCACAAGCCCACATTTTTAAATATAATGTTAAAATTTGTGAGTAGTATATACATATTTTTATTTTGTTAGAAGTATTTTTACAATAGAATTCTTTATACATAATGATTTTCTAAAAATTTTGTTTCTTAACAGTGGAAAGCCTAAGGAACGTTGCCCATCCAACATGGCTCCACTCTCTGTTTCTTATAAGAACATGAAAAGAAGCCCTTCACAAACCTCACTGGATACCATTTCACTTGACAGCATGATATTAGAAGAACAGTTGTTAGAGAGTGATGGAAGTGATAGCCATATATTTTTGGAAAAAGGTAAAGCAATACAGTTTAAGAAGTCATGTCATACATGTACAAATCTTGACAAAAGAAGTGATGTTTATTAATTAAGTCCCCCCAAAAAATCCTACAAATCCAAACACACATACAAACTATACCAAGGGCATTGTAGCTAACTTTCCAATGATTGTTCCATTGCTTCTTTTAACGAGATTCTCCTGCTTCTTTATGGCCAGCGTGCAGCAGCTATTCATATAGTCATTTAGATCATAAAGTGGACAACGTTAAGACTACCAGCCTATATCACGGAGACTCCTATATCTGCAAATTTGATTGTTGTTGTTAGGTGCCGTCGAGTCGGTTTTGACTCATAGCGACCCTATAGGACAGAGTAGAACTGCCCCCATAGGGTTTCCAAGGAGCAGCTGGTATATATGAACTGCTGACATTTTGGTTAGCAGCCGAACCCTTAACCACTACATACACCACCAGGGCTCCACAGATTTAATTAGGTGGGTTCAGTCTGCAGAATGAATTCTCATTTATATGGTCCCATGACTGGAATTTTATCAGACTGATTCTCAAAACCAGGATTCTGCATATACATGATTATGTATGATAGAACTACATAGTTCCCCCATTTTATTCAGAGACAACCATTGCCCCTGTATAGACCACTAGGGATGACTTAGAAAGTATTGGAGGCATCCCCATCAGCAAGTCATCAGGGACTTTGTGAACAGGAGTAACAGTATGGGCCATAGTCAGAGTAGTTGCCGCAGACATAGAAACATAGGACACCAAAGGCAAATAGGAATTACATTCTATTTGAAGGGTAATCAGTCTATTGATACAGTTGAAATCAGCTTAGATAAGGAAAGGCTCAGAACTACCTAAGACTATTAATAATATAATACCCCTATTGCCGTCCAGTCTATTCCGAATCATAGTGACCCTATAGGACAGAGTAGAACTGCCCAATAGGATTTCAAGGAGCGGCTGGTGGATTCAAACTCCTGAACTGCCGACCTTTTGGTTAGCAGCCATGGCTCTTAAGCACTGCGCCACCATATAATGCAATAGTACATATTATAATAAGTTTATAGTAAGCAATAGTATAAGTATTATTAATATACTTACTATAATAATAGCTACTTATTGTCAAGTGCTTAAATAACCTACCTCATTTAATTTGAACCATAACCCTATAATAGTAGCTAACATTTATTGTGCGTTTACTGTATGTTAGCACTATTCTATATGTTATATATATATTTAATCCTCACAATTCCATTAATTATGTACTATTATTCTTTTCAAAGAGGCTAAATAACTTACCCAAAGTCTCATAGCTAGTAAGTGGTTTAAATCCAGGTACTCTGGCTCTAGAGCCTATACTGTTAACTACGATATTCTAAAATTGCCTCAACTCTATGAGGCCTAAGTGCGTATCGTTATCCTTATTTTACAAATACAGAAACTGAGACTCCTAAAGATTAAGTAATTTGCCTTCAGTCACACCATTGTAGGTAGAGTCTTTTTTGTTTTTCTGTTTTAAGATAACATTTACTAGGCACTTCCTGTACGAATTACTGTTTTAAGCATTTTACATGTATTTTTTAATCTTCAGATAAATCTGAGGTAGGAACTATTACCTTCACCATTTAAAACATGAGGAAACCAAAGCCTAAGCAGTTTGCCTAAGCTCTCATAGCTAATAAGTGGAGTTAGCATTTAAACCTAGGCAGTCAGACTTCAAAGTCTAAGCTCTTCTATCTGACTCTAACACATATCATCTTAACCAGACTCATTCTTTGCATAGAAGTCAGAAAAAAAGCCTTTTTTTGATCCCTGTTTACTCTAACCTGGTGGAAGATACTAGTCAGTCTGCCTTACAAGGTAGATAATATTCACTAATAACAATAGCAAACATTTATTGAACACACCTAGTCACTCTGCCAAGTGCTTTAAAGTACATTGTTTGATTTAATCCTCAGATAACCATGTGAGGTAGTTACTAATATTATTATTCCCTGTTTTATAGATTCAGAAACTGAAGCTTAAAGAAACTAGGTACATGGTCCAAAGTTATATAGCTAGTTAGTAACAGAGGCAGGAACTCAGTCTGATTCAAGAGCCCAAGCTTTTAACCAACCAGTATGCATACTAGTTCCCCAGACTTGGGGAATGATTATCATATGTAAAGAAAAATTCCCAGTCTGGCTTTATTATAGACAATTCATAGCAATCTCCTTTCCAGCACACTCTACCAGTTAAATGTAGAAGAGGTACTAATTATGTCATAAAATCTTTTCAAGATTCGCAGATAATTCTAATGCATACTCTTCTCCCCATTATGGCTTAAAACCCTACGTTAACAGAGGATTTCTGTCCTATGGTCAAAATATACTTTAAAAACTGTTTCTGTGGCAACTATCCCTACTTATTCTCAAAGGCAATTGGTAATTTTCTTACTGTTATTTCTCAAAATTAAATAATAAATAAAAGTGATTACCACTCAGTGTAGAAAATTGGAAAATACAGGCAATTACAAATTGGAAAATAAAATCATCCAAAATCCCACAGTCTAGAGATATCAATTATTATTTATTCTTATGAATTTGGATATGTATTCATACATATGTATATTTGGTATCATACTGTATATATGGTTTTGTAACCTGCTTTTTATCACTTATAAGTATATTCTAGTATTATTTAAACTCCTTTGACAAACATTTTTAAAGCCTGCATAAAATTGTCGTAAGAATGTACCATGACCTTTTAATCTTTTCCCTAATGTTGAATGTTTAGATTGTTTATAACTTTTTACTGGTATAAAAATGCTATAATTAATACCTTTGTTCATAAAATTTTATCTGTATTTCCAATTACTGTCTTAGAATAGATTCCAGCAGTAGACTGTTTCAAGGATCTTGGAATAATAAGAGCATTGGCTTTGTATGTAACATTTAAAGGATACATAACTATATATATTCCTTGCTTTTCTGAACTCAAGTAATTTTTCTCTTTATGGCAGGGGGATTGTTTTTCATTGGTAGAAGACCCTTGATTTCTTCTTTTATTTTACAAGAAATATGGGAATAGTCTTTTATTGTTTTAAAAAAAACAAACACTACAGAATGAAAATTTGTTCATGTCAATTTCCAGTTTAATCCTGGTAACTTCTCATTGCTTTAAGTCTATTAAGTTTAAAATCCTTAACATTATCAGCAAGGCTCTGTATGATGTAGCACCAGCTTCCCTGTTCTTCTGTTTCCCACTTGCTCACTGTACTTAAAGTGTACTATGTTATACCTCAGTCTTTCTCTCAGTTCCCTCACTGTGACATTTTGTTTCTACCTCAAGGTCATTGTACCTGTGCCTAGAGTGCTCTTTTTCTTTCTATTCACTTTTGCTTAAATGTTACTTTATCAGGGAAGCTTTCTTAACCCTTGTCTATGCTAGGAACTGCGCTGACATGCTCTTATTAGCTCCTCTTAGCACAAATGTATTCATATGCATATTCCTTGGTCCTAGAAACTATTTGTTCATTCAGCAGATAATTCATTGAGCACCTGCTCTGTTGCCAGGCACTGAGTTAGAGTCCAAATATATAGTGAATCTAATAATAAAAAATTGAGGCCTGTGTTTTGTATGTCTTTGATTTTTCCTAATCTAATTTTTTAAGTAATTCATTTTTATTGTATTTTTTAAAAATATTGATCTGTGATGGATTCGAAAAATTTTTTTTTTAATTTGTCTTTTACCACAGATAATTTGAGAAACATCGAAGGTAGGGCACACTGAGAAATTAAGGCAGATAGATAAGGATAAAGATGGAGAATGGCCACACTGACAACAAATGGCAGTATTTATAGTGTAAAAGATAATTAGGAGTTGCTATAGGATACCAAAAAGGGGAATGAAGTGGTCAGGCTAGGACTGTTCAGTGTAGGATAGATTAGAGGAGGGTGGGGCGAAGCTTTTCGTTATGCCCGCACTGTATCTCACTAGTGAGAGAGAACACGGGCTGCAACCATCAGTGGTGGTTGCTTTTTTTCATCCTAAGTTTAGAGCCTATAACTTTTTTTTTTTCCCATCGTGGTGAAAATAATACATTACAAAACATACATCATCTCAATAATTTCTACATGTGCAATTCACTGTGTATCTGTAACATTTTATTGTGGGAAATTATTTTTCATTCTGTGCTAACTAACCACAATCTGACTTTGCTTATTGTTTTTTAAACATTGTTCTTGAGAAAATATTGAAGGGTTTGTCCTTTTTGGTTAAATAAACAGAACATTGTTGGATCATGTGTAAAACTGATTTTAATTTATTAGTTTAGTTTTGTCTTCTTTCAGGTATTAAAAAGAACTCAGTTACAAATTACCAGAGCCCAGCAGAGAGTGTGAATGCCAGTGCAAACGTACAGAGTTACGGTGAAACCTCTCCGGATGCCATCAGTACAAATTCAGAGGGTGCTCAAGAAAATCATGACGACCTGGTAATCATTTCCGAGAGAGTCTATGAGGAGAAATGCTACCAGCTTTATTTACTTCGTATTCAATATGTACACATTTTAGCACCTTAAGTTAACATATAAGATGAATTGACTGAGGTGGTGGATGATTCATTCACATTGCTTCTTCTAATCTTGAAAGTGCTTTCTTCCCTTTTTCTGTTTTGTTCTACATTTTGGTTTTCTAAATTTGTTTTATTGATTGTTGGGGTGAGGAGTTGTATCTTTCTTTTTTCCATCCTGCCTTATTTTTTGACTTTTAGTTCAGTTTAAACACACTTTGAAAAAGTTTGATGGCAAGGAAGGTGGTCAGTCCTTAAAATGAGAGGCTTTCTGCAAAAAAAAGACGTTTACTGATTTATTTTAAGGCCTCCTTACTCAGTAAAATATTCTTATAGAAGACTTAGAAAAATACTATGTCTTAGAAAAATTTTATGTCTCTTTTACATGGGAATGTCATATAATGCATCTTTGTAACCTGAAAAATGTTTTCTTGGCTAAATAAAAAGAAAGGAAGGTGAAGTTTTCACTATAATGTAACAACATTCTGTTGGTCAAAAGTATATATTTTGGTCTGTTTGTCATAATTGTGTTTTTAAAGATTATGGTATTAGTTTTTAAACTTTGTTTTTAATTATTTGGTATACTAATGTTATTTATGCAATCATTAATAGAAGTCAATCGTGGTGTTTAAAATTACTGGTGTTAATGGGGAAATTGACATCCGAGGGGACGATATTGAAATATGTCTTCAAGTGGACCAAGTAACACCAGACCAATTAGGCAACATCAGTTTGCGGCATTACCTTGGTAATCGTTCCGTAGGTAAGATCATATATTCTTTTTACTACTTTTCACGCAAGACATTTTAGTATGATTTAGGCTTTTTTTTATACAGAGGGACTCATCATCAGTCCTATTCTTGACATAATTGAATTAAAGGAAAATTACATTTATTTATAAAAATAATGGAGATTTATTTTTTAAGATCACCTTATTGCCATAAAGCATTTTGATTAAGTTGTTACAAATATATAATTTGTTGAAGACAGATTCTTTAATTTCTTTTTTTTTATACTCTTAAGTTTAGTCTTTTACGTTTTCAGTCTTTCCATTCTTTGAGTTAATGAGTCTCAGAAAACTGAGCTATTTTTTATATGAAAAGAGTGATAAAGTAATCCCAGAAGGTCAAATTTAGTTTCACACTGGAATAAATGTCAATTTCTGTATTCTCTTGCCTTGCTTATAAGCAGACATTTCCTATGCTGGCATGGTATTTGGAAGAAACATGTATCTTGTTCTTGTAATTCTTCATTCTAAGATCAACACATTGACTTGAACACAGAGGAATTTAAGTAATAAATTATGTAGTGTGTGAAGAAGAAACCATGTTAAACCATCCCTTTTTCAATGATTATGTGGAGTTACCACATAAACATGGCTTTCACTCATTTGAAGAAATGAATTCATTAGAATAGTTGTATTAAGGATTTGAAATGACAGTGGTTATTTTCTTTAAATCTTTTAAAAAGTCACTGAGCTATAATATGTTGCTATATACATAGAGTGCTATATCTGTTACATAACATGTTGAAATAAGTACAGCCCTGCATGATATCAGGTAAGTATGCTATCACCTCACATCCTGAGCATTGCAGGTAAATGTGCCATTTGTCCATTATCCAGCATCACAGAAAAACATTGGCTCTTGACTTTTTTATGTGTAGGCCTTAGAATTTACAATGTATGTGTTAAAAAACATTTGAGAAGTTTATATTGTTGTTGTATGCTGTCATGTCGATTCCAACTCATAGCGACCCTGTAGGACAGAGTAGAACTACCCCCTAGGGTTTCCAAAGCTGTAATCTTTATGGGAGCATATTGTAGGTTTTTTTTTTTCTCCCTGTGGAGCGGCTGGTGAGTTTGAACCACCAGCCTTTCGATTAGCAGTTGAGTGCTTAACTATTGTGTCAACATGGGCTCTTAAAACATTTGAGAGTTTCATATTAGCAAGTCTAAATCCCAACAGCATGCAAATTGAGAGAATACTAAGTATATATTTAGAAAGGTTTCATAGTGGGGGGAGGGACAGAAAAAAATGATTTAACATAAAATTTCAAAACGTAGATCCTGTATACCCAGTCAGCCACTTTTCAAATTATACTCTTAGGTTATTCCAGTAGCACAATTTTTTTTTCAGTACTCTATATCTCACTTAGTACTGTCTTATTATTTTGTTTCCTTTTGTTTCTAATTAAAGAAATCATTTTTAAATGCCTTGTGTATGGGTTATATAGTCAGTGCTAGCTAATACTTTCTGTTTCCCAAGTGTCTCAGTGGTTGTTTGAAGAGAAACAAAAGACACAGTTAAAGGAAAGGGAAGGTGGAAGTGGGAAAGGGGAGAAAAAACAACAGCATAGCTTGAACATTTCAAACAATAAGCCATACACATGAAGATAGTATTTGAACTGTAGTTTACATACACTGTTGTCACTCTAAATTGAACAGTATTACAGCGTTGTTTTTGTTTGTTTGCTTGTTTTTTCCTATGGAGTGTGGTATTTTGGATTCCTTTGGCGCAGTGGTTAAGTGCGTGGCTGCTAACTGAAAGGTTGGTGGTTCGAACCCACCAGCTGCTCTGAGAGAAAGATGTGGCAGTCTGCTTCTGTAAAGATTGCAAACAGAAAACCAAACCCATAGCCCTGAAGTAGATTCTAACTCATAGTGACCCTATAGGACAGAGTAGAACTGCCCCATAGGGTTTCCAAGGAGCGGCTGGTGGATTTGAGCTGTTGACCTTTTGGTTAGTAGCTGAGCTCTTAACCACTACGCCTCCAGGGTTCCATTTGCAAAAATTACAGCCTTGGAAACCCTATAAGGCAGATCTACTCTGTCCTGTAGGGTTGCTATGAGTCAGATTGACTCAATGACAGTGGGTTCAATGTTGTTGTTAGGTGCCATCCCATCGGTTTCGACTCATAGCTACCCTGTATACAACAGAACGAAACACTGCCCGGTCCTGCGCCATCCTCACAATCTTTGTTATGCTTGAGTCCACTGTTGCAGCCACTGTGTCAATCCATCTCGTTGAGGGTCTTCCTCTTTTTCGCTGACCCTCTACTTTGTCAAGCATGATGCCCTTCTCCAGGGACTGATCTCTCCTGATAACATGTCCAAAGTATGTGACACGTAGTCTTGCCATCCTTTCTTCCAAGGAGCATTCTGGTTGTACTTTTTCCAAGACAGATTTGTTCATTCTTTTGGCAGTCCATGGTATGTTCAATATTCTTCGCCAACACCACAATTCGAAGGCATCAGTTCTTCTTCGGTCTTCCTTATCCATCGTCCAGTTTTCACATGTGTATGAAGCGATCAAAAACACCATGGCTTGGGTCAGGCACGCCTAAGTCTTCAAGGTGACATCTTTGCTTTTCAAAACTTTAAAGAGGTCTTTTGCAGCAGATTTGCCCAGTGCAATGCGTCATTTGATTTCTTGACTGCTGCTTCCATGGTGTTGATTGTGGATCCAAGTAAAATGAAATCCTTGACTACTTCAAATCTTTTTTCCATTTATCATGATATTGCTTATTGGTCCAGTTGTGAGGATTTTTGTTTTATGTTGCTGTGTAATCCATACTGAAGGCTGTAGCCTTTGATCTTCATCAGTAAGCGCTTCAAGTACTCTTCACTTTCAGCAAGCAAGGTTGTGTCATCTGCGTATAGCAGGTTGTTAATAAGTCTTCCTCCAATCCTGGTGCCCCATTCTTCTTCATATAATCCAGCTTCTCGGATTATTTGCTCAGCATACAGATTGAATAAATTGGTGAAAGGATACAACCCTAACGCTAACGCACACCTTTCCTGACTTTAAACCACACAGTATCCCCTTGTTCTGTTCGAATGACTGCCTCTTGATCTATGTACAGGTTCTTCATCAGCACAATTAAGTGTTCTGGAATTCCCATTCTTCACAGTGTTATCCATAATTTGTTATGATCCATACAGTCAAATGCCTTTGCATAGTCAATGAAACACAGGTAAACATCTTTCTGGTATTCTCTGCTTTCAGCCAGGATCCATCTGACATTAGCAATGATATCCCTGGTTCCATGTTTTTTATGGATTTAATAGGAAGACCTTAATATAATAACTTCATGGCACAAAAGGAAGGGGAGAGTGATTTTGACTAATGAAGTTTTTTTTTTTTAATTTTTTTTTATTGTACTTTAGATAAGGTTTATAGAACAGATATTTTCTCATTAAACAGTACGCATATTGTTTTATGACAATGGTTAACAACCCCACAACATGTCAACACTGTCCCTTTTCAACCTTGGGTTCCCTATTACCGGCTTTCCTGTCTCCTCCTGCCTTCTAGTCCTTGTCCCTGGACTGCTGTGCCTCAGTAGTCCTGTTTTGTTCTATGAGGCTGTCCAATCCCCTGCAGAACAGTGAACTTCGGGAGTGACTTCACCACTGAACTAAATGGGTGTCCAGGGCCATTATCTCAGGGTTTCTCCAGTCTCTGTCAGGCCTGTAAGTCTGGTGTTTTTTTGTGAGTTAGAATTTTGTTCTACATTTTTCTCCAGCTCTGTCCAGGACCCTCTGTTGTGATCCCAGTCAGAGCAGTCAGTGGTGGGAGCCAGGCACCATCTAGTTGTACTGGACTCAATCTGGTGGAGGCCATGGTAGTTGTGGTCCATTTGACTAATGAAGTTTCTGTTTTATTTTATCCTCCTCCAAAATAAATACTCTTTTTGTTTAAAATTATTTCTGGTTTTCAGCTCTCCAGAATGTGAGTTTGTGTGTTTGTGTATTGCGAGGGGGGCGAGTAGATAAAAGGCAAAATAAAATCACATTAGCCAAGTTGTTTGTTGCTCCTATTAAGTCGACAAATTAACTTCTGTTATTTTTTCTTGATAATAGAAAGAACATTATATAACTGTTATCAAGTTTTTGGGCTTTTCTTTTCCCTTTTATTTCAAAAAATGTGAGTTTTTAAACCTTAAAGAACTCTTGGGAATTTTTTTTAACTCTTACTGTTAATTTATTTTGACTTAATAAGTAGTACTAATCAAAAAACAAACAAAAAAAACCCAAACCTGTTGCCTTTGAGTGAATTGCCACTCATGGTGATCCCATGTGTTACCAAATAAAACTGAGCTCCATAAGGTTTTCTTGGCTATAAATAATCTTTAAGGAAGCAGGTTGCCAGTCCTTCCTTTTAAGGCACCACTGGGTGAGTTCAAACCTTCAAACTTTTGATTAGCAGCAGCCAAACGCAAACCACTTGTGCCACCCAGGGACCTAATAGTACTAACAATTAAATTCAATTCTGTGCCTGAAATAAAAAAATGTAAAAACAGTTCTCCACTTTGATTTGTGTATGGAGACCTATTCTTGGTGCATAAATATATGTAACTTTAATTTCTTGTACCCTCACCCTTACACAAATAAGTTTACATTTGACCTAAATAAAAATTCAGTGTCCACATCCTTTTCTTTCTGCCTGTATTGAGGGAAAAACTAAAATATCTTTTCATCATGGATTTAATTAGTGGAATATTCTTATGACAGTCTATGGGATAAATAGCTTTCCTACCTCAGTAACGGAAAGATATGTGTCTTTCCAGAAAAAAAGTAGTTTGTTTTTGTTTTTATCTCATATGTTCTGTGAATTGTGAAACTGATCTTTTTTTTTTTTTTCCCTTTGCTGCTGGGAAGTTCATTTGTGCTCCACCCTCAGCACAGCCACTTAAATAAATGTGTTTTGGGTTATTAACCTCACCACCTGTCTTCTCCTTTTCCTTCTCACCCTTATATTTTTCTTGCTTCAGTCATTTTTTTATATGACTATCCTATGTGCATGTTGTCTCCTCTTTTTTACTTAGATAGCATAAAACAATAAACAAAATAGTGACCATGAGGGTCATTTGCAACTGTTTACTGCAGCAGTGCCACTAGGAACTTTCATTGTTTAAAATTACATATCCTATGAGTAATTTATTGAAATTTTAAAAATTGTTTTTAAACTCACGTATTTGTATCTTTGTAAATCACCTCAGATTTTTTCTTGGAACAAGGCCAAGACATAAATATATGTAATGATATGTATATATTTTCTTTACTTTAATTTCAGTTTTAGGTCTCTTTTAATGGAAGCCCTTTAATGAGGTTTTCTCTCTTTGCTTTTCTGTTATTAAAGGACACGGTTTTAATGAGAAAAGTATGAAGCCTTAGGCTTTTGTTGCTTCTTGGGAAATGTGTTAAGAGTCACTGAAATGCTATGATTTTGTTTCTTCATCACAGTTTTCCGTTATATTACAAATGTGTAGGTACACACGCAAACACCTAAGTATCAGAGGTATCATATCAGAGACACATCACAGCATGTTTTCTCCTATAACAAAAATATAGGAAATAAAGAAAAATATTAGAGAGTATTACTGTAGTCAAAAGTTGCCTATGAAAATTGAAATTAGGGTTGTTTGTGCTATATTATATATGTATATGCAATGTAAAATATTATTTAAATTAGTTTAAGGGTAAATATTAAGACTTAATCTAGTATTTAATATTTTACAAATACACAGTAACCTTTTAATGACAAATAATAGAGTGATATTTTTGAGTTGTGCTAAAATTTTAACATTTTTGTGTTCATTTTTCATAGGTTCAGATCAGAAAGCTATAATTCATTCCAAAACCTCTCCTAAGATTACTCTGAGATTTGAAAGTGGGCCTGGTGCTGTAATACACTCTTTGCTTGCAGAAAAAAATGGGTATCTGCAATGCCACATAGAAGATTTTAGCACTGAGTTTCTAACATCTACTCTTACGAATATTCAGCATTTTTTGGAAGATGAAACTGTTGCAACAGTGATGCCAATGAAGATACAAATTTCTAACACAAAAATAAATTTAAAAGTATGTTAATAAACATCTTTGTATTCTCATGTTCTAAATGTTAATTTTGCCTGCCTGGACTTTAGTTCATGTCTAAGAATATGCCTTCTGTATAATATATGCTCTTATCAGCATTTATTAAAATGAATTAAATTTGTTCTATGTGGTGAATGATAGCTTTCTTATAAATTAGGAAATGTCTAAATAGAACAGACAGTTTTCTCACTGTAACATGCTTTTTTGCTAAAGCATGTAATGATATAATTATTAAAAATTATTATTGACTGAAGTAATGTTTGAGAAAATGATAATTTTATCATTTACTTTAAGAACAACATGCCAATACTGTTTCTCTTTCCCCATAGGATGACAGTTCACGTGGTAGTATGATACCCCTTGAACCAGTTCCTGTAACCATCCATATTGATCATCTTGTGGTGGAAAGAAACGATGATGGCTCTTTTCATATCAGAGGTATATGTGAACAAACAGTTTAGATAAATAGCTATTGAAATTTTGAAGTTAAATTGTTTTGTGTTGTTTTCTTTTCATTCATAGTTTATTTTATATGTAGGTACATCATCAGTGTAGTAGTGGATGATTGAGGGACAGTTTCAGAACATTATAATGAAATATCATCTATGTGTGAACTTTTAGCCCAGAAGGAACTCATCTACAGTGCTTGTTCTATGAATGTGTTTTGAATGAAAGAGGTGATTTCTTGGTCTTATAGACTTAATCTCTTTCTTAGCTTTATTTCCCATTGTTTCTATATATATACTCAATTAAACTGGTGTACTCCCTGTAACAGAAATCGTCTTGCAGTTTTTCATTTCCATGTTATTTGCCTTGTCAGGAGCATTCATTAGAATTGCTCATCCTCTGTGTAAATTTTGTCCAGCTTTACAGGGTTGTCTCAAGCTTTTCCTTTTCAGTGAAGCCTTTTTTTTTTTTTTTTTTTAATATTTTATTGTACTTCAGGTGAAGGCTTACAGAACA